TGTTCTTTTCCCTAAGTAATGAAAATACTGCTTATTTTTATCTGCAGTTCTCTTTTAATTAAGTTGTATTTTAGTTTATTAGTTTATTAGAACATAAAAGGCCTTATAGGTCCTTCTATGAGGAGAGTTACCTACTATACTTGGTTATTTAAAAACATAAGGTATTTTCAAACAAGAAATTTCAGCATTTCTATCTGAGAAAGACCTTTTATCTAAAAGATGGGTTGGTCATATACAAACCAGTGGGAATTCAAAATCTGTCAGGGATATAGTTATGTTGATTGACATGTCTTCAAAATTTGTAATGGTACAAGAAGTAAAAAAAAAAGATGATTAAATTATTTAATAATCATATTGCTATGGGTCAAATAATTATCACTGAAGATTTTAACCAAGATTTAAATCCGCTGTTAGATTGTGATACTGTTTGTTAGACTGCAATACTGTTTGCATCTCATACACTGAATTTTATTCTCATACATGGGAATTGCTACAAGTTTATATGTTGAATTTGGTAGATATAGAGCTTGAGAGCTAGACGTTCTATCAATGGACATGTCCTTATACTTCAATATCTGGCCAAAAAATATACATCTATGCACAAACACACTCAATATATACTATTTAATTCTGTCTTGTTGGAAATTTATAATGATGCTTTTAAATACTGCTTTCGAATTTCCTTTAATGAAGCTTATACAACTATAATTTTGAAAACTGGTAAAGATTTTGCTAATTGTGCAAGCTACTGTCTGATATTTTTGTTAAATGCTGATATCAAAAATTCTGACAACAATCTTGGCACATAGCCTATAGATGATTTTATCTTTGATTGACCATTCTATGCAATCTGGTTTCATAAGAGAGCAATAAGCCTTGGGTAATATTAGGTAAATTGATATGTTAGAAATATACGTATTCTGAAAACTGAAATTTGGTTTCCCTGGATATGGAAAAGGCCTCTGATATAGCACAATTTAAATTTTTGGCCACATATGGATTTCCATCTTTCATTATCAAGTGGATTAAAGTGTGAAATTCTAATTCTTTTGCCAGAAATATTACAAATGGAATTATTTCCTCATCTATCAAGATATTGCTTGGGACTTACTAAGGATGCCCTTTATTTCCTCTTATATTTAATTTGACACTGAAATCATTGACCTATCTTGCCAGGCAACTGAAAGACAGTCTAGGCATAAAAATGGATGAACACAAATTATTGCTAATTATAAACATTCCATACCAATATTTATTAAAATAGCTAGCACAACAGTAAATTATCAGGTTACTGAGTTAACTGGATTTAGTCTCATATTTTTCCTATAGGCTCAAATATATTTATGGTAAACAAAATATCTTATATTTTTCCCATGAGCAAAATATCTTTACATTACATAAATGTTTTAAAATGTTTGTCTCAGATTAATATTCATATAAAAAGATGGTAAAAAATCCTTGATTACTTAAAAACTGATATATGAACTCAAAAGGTTTCCCATGCAGTGGTGTCCTCAGCAAATATAAACACTCTTATGTACTTGCATCTTGCATGCGTTCACAGCTCATTCTCTTGACACATTATTAAGCCAGCATATTACCTGTTTCATCTATAACAATTACGATTATTAGAACAAGTCAAATTATTAAAATGTGGTTTGAAGTTCAATTACTTATTTCAAAGCTGGTGCTTGTGATTTCCCTTTCCACATGAAATAGTGAACTACAATTTTGTTGAATCAAAATCTGTAGACAAGGATACCTTAAAGAGGTTGCACACACAGGCAAAAGTCTCATACTGAATTTGAGACACAAATAGCTAAACAATACTAATTTTCATAAGCTACAAATGATTTGATCAATAGAATGCTTTACATATCCATTTTAATTAATCCTGAAAGTATGGTCACTATTTTAAGGCGTTTCCAATCTCCTGACATATTTGATTGCTTTGCTGACTGAACGTTCAGAGTTTGTAAACATATTAGAAGAAATATTGAATGAGAAATTCTCAAACCACAAGCTTCAGATTCAATGACTGTATTCACTTCTAATCCCTTGCACCCTGTACCTCCTTTCTCAATGAAGAAATCTTGTTATTTATAATTAGTGAGGTTCTTGGTTAGAAAAATAACTGCTTCTGAATTTTGTACAGATTACATAAACTGTACATATGAAAAACTGACTTAATTTCATGGTAATGTTTTTTTCCCAAGCCTCCATTATCTTAATCATGTGGACAGCCACCTATTAAAAGAAAAATAATCATTACCAGTTGCTTATAGTAGCAGCTGTTAGGTGTAAAATATATTAGTATGGTGATTCCACATTTACAAATCTAATCAAGCTACAGAAATTTATTTGGAAAGTATTGAGAAAGCAAGAAATCTGCCTGAATTTATGAAAAGCTAAATCATTTCAAGTTCTCTTTTAGGATCGATGAAGCATTCAAGTACTTCTAGATCATATGATTCTAAGTTACTCTAAATAACCTATATTTAGAAAGTTCCCAGTGCAGCTATTTAAAAAATAACAATATGTAAGCTACAGTAGACAATCTGAACTAAAAACAGATTAAAACAAATTATCATTAGAATAATCTGTATTGAATTTGATATTTTTTGACTTGCTTATGAATGATTTGGTGCCTGAGATGACTAATGATGTGATCAAGTCTGATGATTTCAAATTATTTTAAAATGGTTAGCACAAAGGGAACAATTTTGGAAAATGGACATTAACTGGTAAATTGATTCAATATCAGAAAATGCAAAGTGAATGGTGCTGATCCATAATAATAGTAACAACAACAACATTCCTGTCTCAATTTGGAGCAGCACATAAATTATGACAATATATTTATCCTAGATCATAGGGAAGGATCTGATAGTCAAAAGTATCAAATCAATCAGAACTATCTGTTGACGATGTGTTATTTTTAGATATAAACTGGTATGCTTTAAGCTAGCAGTGCTAACCTGGAAAGAGAAAATAAATGATTCAATCTGCTGTTGTAAAGGCAATGTTGGGGGTTTATTAAAGAAGGAATCTAAAATAAAATTATAGATTTCATGATGCACAAAAGGTTACACAAATCCTGGAATACTGTGTCAGGCTATGATCACCATTATCTCAAAAGGATGATTTAAGAGGTGGACAACATCCTTACAAGGAAAGGTTAGAGAGGTATGTGACTTTTTAATATAGAATAATGGTGAGAAAGAGGAATGTAATACAAGTGTACATGCATTGTGGAGAAGGTGGATATGGAGAATTCTTCTCCCTTTCTTATTATACTAGGAAGGTTTAAAACTAAGAAACCTGGTTGTTCATTGTGAGGGGATAGCATTTTGGTGTGATCCAGTACAATAGTGCTTTTTTATATTCATAAAGCCATCAGAAAAAATACAATGAAAGTATGCTGGACTAGGGTTGGGACACCTAGGTTCATTTGCCCCATGGAGATCAATAGATTTCTTTGGGCCAATCTTTCTCAGTACAGCCCACTTCAAAGTATTATTATTGTGGGGATAAAATTGGGGAAGATGTCCATGTAAACAATTTCATTTCTGAGAGAAAAGGCATGTTATAAACACAGTAGCTAACTAACCAACCCATCAATCTTACTGGACAGAATAATCTAAAGAAGTATTGATACTGAGAAAGTCACACTCTGCCTGATTTTCATTTTAAAATTATTTTTAAAAAGCTCATCTTCAGTGCATGTTTTTTCCTTATTTCTAAAATGGAAAAGGCACCTATATTTCTTCAATATTATAACCAGGAGCTTCTGCGGAAAGATCGCTTAAATGTTTTAATGCACATCTTATTGTTTAGTATCTATATTACCCATCGTAATTTGTACATTGTAATTTGACAAATCACCCTAAGATATTGTCCCTTGTATTGTTATGTAGAATTCAGTAAGCATGCGGTGAACATCTAACCTTTGGAAGATTGAACTGGAACCAGTATTTTAATTATCCCATATACTTCATCAAAATATGTTGCCTTTCAGATCAAACCATAGATCCATTCAGCCCACTATTGTATTCAACAAAGAGCAGTAAGATGCTCTGAAGATTGCAAGCTCAGGATATGCTTGTATCAGTACATCAGTTTCCAACTCTTTCTTTTATATGCACACAATCAAAACAATTGTTGAGATTCAGAAGCAAATTGATTCTTTTTAACACGTTTCTATACAGAAATGAGAAATATCTGGATCTAAAATTCTAAATTTGCTATGGGTATCAATAGCATGGTGCCATGCAGACAAATGTTAGTAGCTGTATCCATGCACCTGCTTAAAGTTAAAAGTTAATTTAATAGTGTAGAAGTGTGATAATATTTGTTACTGTTTAGCAGCACTACACTGATGTCCCAGTTGTTGCAATTTAGTGAATTATCATGTGGAGCCACCAAATCACTCTACTGAATCCATGAATAAATCAAGTAATCACATCATCTTGAGAGCAGGGACGGACTTCAGATGTTCAAGATCAGTTGTGTGTGTGTTGGGGGGGGGGAGTTCCTCTATAAATCTAAAGGCCACAAACCAGAGTTAGATGCAAAATAGTTGTAGGTGGGGATACCTTTAGAATTAAGGAATAAGGGAGCTTCAGAACACATGCCCATCCTACAAATTTGTTTTCTGTAGCAGAATTAATCTCACAATATAGCCATACAAAATGAACAAAGTTCATCCTGTTTTCTTCCTCTGCTGTGCTTTCATTTAAGGCAAGGAGAACTGTAGGGTTTTGTTAGTGATCTACTGCAAATCACTGAGAACTACCAGTGACGATTTCAATCTGTCATCTGCCTTCCCTGCTACAGAGCTAAATCCATGATTCCCGGGTAGCTGGCAGGAAAGCAGCAGTGAAATAATGCTGAATGTGATATTCATATATTGAAAGATTTTAGTAATTCATGCTGTGATGAAATAAAGGTTTATTTCAAGGAAGTAGCTGACAATTTGAAAATTAAATATGGATGGATACCTTGTGCTTGCAATGCTTGGTGATTCTGCTCCAAGCCTGCATCTTTCTAACTGACTGGCAACAATTTGCCTTTCCACTTCAAGTTCTCTGGTGAGTCTTTGAAACTGGAGTTCCTGTAATTCAAAGAAAAGGATTTAAAATACATTTAAACAGTGGTACAGATAAAATAAAAACTGGTTCACACATCCCAAAACAAGATTCTACTAAGATAAATATGAATTATACATAAAACACAAACTTCTCTTTCATCTAAAAATGGTTAGGGACCCATGTATAAGAACAGACTTTCACTGCTCAAAAGTTGAAGCCTGAAGATTCCCAGCTACTGAAAAATACTTTGTGGTAGGATCATGCCACACCTACACTTGGTCAAATGGCCAGGTACACATACAAAATACCTTGTGACTTGAAATGAGCTTATCATAATTGGAGTGAGAAGCTTTATAATAGGAAAAACTAAGTTTTTGCTTAGAAAATTTACAATCAATCCAGTAACTAATGCCTTAAAGAAGGGTCATATATTTACAGTTGTGTGAAAAAGAAAGTACACCTTCTTTGAGTTCTATGGTTTTATGTATAAAATCATAAAATAAAAATCATCTGGTCCTTAGCAGTTCTCAAAAGTAGGTAAATACAACCTCAG